CTGTGATCTACCATTCTGTCTATCTATCTATCTATCTATCTATCTATCTATCTATCTATCTATCTATCTATCTATCTATCTATCTATCTATCTATCTATCTATACTACCCCCTTTTCCCTCTGATCCCCACATTATCTTTATCAACCAAACCCATAAACATTTTGCCCTTTCCCATCCACCTTTTCCTTCCATTCTTTTAAGTACCCTACCCTTTCCGTACAGTAGTATCATCCCCCCCCCATCCTCCCATATAACTTCTATCTTCCAAATACATTCCCCCTTCTCTCTCTTTCCATAAATATACATTTTGCAACCCATACTAACTTTGTACTAATAATGTAAAAACTATTTCGACCCGAATCAGATTCAAACTCCCTATTAAACTTTAGTACCATCCCTGCTAAACCTCCAACCCCCCTCCCCACTAACATACAAGCCTCACGTTCTGTATAAACTGAACCGAGGCTACGGGGGGGGGGGAATGGATGAATTTGTATGTGACGTCATAACTGACGACTATTTGGAAACTTGTGACTATGAAGGATGATGATAACCATCAATCTACAGGGTTACCCACAAAGGATGAAACTTCAAAGACGACTGAATTTATTCTATCTGTTTCTTCTTATTTATGATTCCTTGTAACTTTAAAAATCGTTTCTAGCTTTCGTTGCCAAATCATTAATTAAACTATTAAAATACTATATAAAATATAAAATTTAATCTAAATTCATATTTTAAGGGTTTCCGGTCGTCTTTGCATTCTCATTCTTTGTGGATGTACCTGTGTATCTAATAATCTATCTATCCAACCCTTCCTTAACGATTAATATTAAGATTAAGCTTTCTTATGCCACACTATGCAAAAATATTGACTATGAGTAAAAAAAAGCCTGAATGATTTTTCCAATCGTTTGTTATATCGAACGATTGGTTTTGCTTCGTTCTTAGAAAACAAAGCGTAAAAACAAGTTCTTCGTAGTGCTAAAATGTACATGTAAAGGGCTACAGAAAAAGTATAAGTGAGTTAGAGCGGTAATATCAAAGCTCAAGGCGTTGCGAAACTTCAAATGAGAATTTTTGAATCCATTAATTAAAAATAATCTATTTTCTAAATTATATACATTAAAAAACTAATTCATATTCTTTTAAGGGTTTGTGTACCACTGGAAAAAACACATACAGTCCCTTTCTTTCTTGATGCATGTACGTAAGTCTTTTTATTAATGGTTAAAAGTCTCAGATTACAAAAATCAAATGAAATATTAAAATAAAAAATATTATTTTAGGCAGGAGCCTCAAAAATGTAATTGATTTAGAAATGTAAAATTTTTTTTAAAATATTACCAATATGTTTAGCTACATTTTATATACATTAATCAACATTTTAAATTTTTTTTTGTTATGATAAAAGTTTTTTAATTGCAACACAAAGGCTTTATTTTCGACACAGGTTACCTGCAAAACCCAGTTCGTTTGACTATAAAACCGGTTTTTTGTCTGTTTTGTAACCTTTTTTAGCTGATGAGCATCAAAATTATATTTTTTGACAGTGGCGGACATAAGGGGGGTTATTGGGGTTATTGATACTACATTGACGACAAGAAAATTTAACAATGAGTAATGACCATATTTGTTCAAAGTTTTGCAGAGTAGCTTTTCTAAAGATTTAAAAAAGTAACATCTTTTTCATCATAGAGTAAAACTATCATTTTTTATATTACTGCCTTTTTTGTCAATGTTTGGTAAAAAGTTTAGTTAAACTTAAATAAATTCAGTTTTTTTACGGATCTTTGTAGTTAATGTAAAATGAATGACTATTATGAAAGATATAAAACAAGGTGAAAGCTGAAAGGTATGTCATGAAGCCTTTATTAGATTGAGTTTGTAAATCCCAGAAATGAGTGGAAAATGCAAATCAACCCTAATTAAAACCAATAATTTGATATACATCATGATATTTTTCTAAAAAAATGACTTTGAGTCATTGACAGACGATTTATCCTAAACGAATTAAATGTTAGAATTCAAATTTTATGTGCTCAGCAGAATGACAAAAACCTGAAAAACCCGGATACAATTACACCTTTTTAATACTTCTAATTATTGAAATTTAAGTATATGCTTTTTCACTGTAATACATTTTTTTTTAAACCTTGACACAATTTTTACGAATTCTAATACTTATGTATTCCCGTGTTTGCAACTGAACTGCCCAAATCTTCTTGGCCCTATCTCTTCTATCCAACTTCTATCTATCTATCTTCTATATTTGTATCCATATATCTATCTATCTATCTACAATCTATTTTTAGCTTTAAAACCATGAATAAAGCGGGTACCTCGTTGAACCAAATTACGTAAAATTTCCAGAATTTAGAATTTAAATACATTGTTGGAAACCCTGTCCTGTTCAGACTACAGCGAACCCTGTTCTCCGCGAGTGGACATAACACAACCCAAGATTTCGGAGGCTGCGTAACCTCGGGGGAAAAACGGGGCCCATCATGTGATACTAGAACCATAGATATATATACTATATATAAGATTTTTAAGAATTTAAATTTTTTTACAAAATTAAAAAACCTTTAAAACACATTTTTTTAAATTTTTATCATTCATAAACCTTCCCTGTGGTCACGTAATGTCCCACAAAAAATTTGGGCCCGGTTCAGCCGTTTTGACGTTTATTGGACGCAAACAAACAAACAGACAGACAAGCCAAATTTATATATAAATTGTTTTGAACTGACGAGGGTCAACCCAGAGCTGAATATTTGTTCAATAAATGTGGAACTCTACAGAGGTTTGGTCCATCACCATCACCGAATTTTAGATAGATATATAGATCTATCTATAGATAGAAGATAGAAAGATAAATATATATATATATATAGATATATATAGATAGATAGATTGATAGATAGATAGATAGATAGATAGATAGATAGATAGATAGATAGATAGATAGATAGATAGATAGATAGATAGATAGATAGAAAGATTTATCATAAGTTAGCTTTGAAGACGACATTATATACAAATTATTTTTTTGTATCCAAATATCTTGAATAAAATTACAAACACATAGAAAAAAATCACTATAACTTTGAATTAATATGGGATTAACTTAGGAGCCTTTGACAAGAAAAAGTTTAGCATGACAATTTTTTGGGAAATTTTCGCATTTACTTCTTAGAAGGTTGTCATGCTTTGAGGTTATCTTATATTTTCAAGATTTCTGAAATTCAAATATGTATAATTTAAAATGTTTATTAATGTTAGCTTGTTAAAAAAAATGCTATTAATGAAATAATAACGCACAATTTTGTAAATTTTTCCCAATTTTAAAAATAGAGCTCTGAAAAAAATTTATTTATCCAAAATTTTATCCTCGAAGAAAATACAGAATAGGCTTAGCGTATGACTGGTTTGATCATGGGCAGCCGTAGTAGATTTGAATTTCCGAGCCGGGTCTACCTTCCCGGTCCCAGTTTCTACTGTACCTAGCGCTATGGACAGGACTAGCCGGTGCAACAAGGTTGAGGCTGTTAGACTTTACGCTTCATATAGGTTGAATTTACTTTTACTAAAGGGGCAGATTTGCGTGTGATATCTAATCATGAAACAATTTGCACTAAAAATAACTGATTTTTTCCGTTTTCATAAATTAAATATTCCTTGAAAAGATGAAAATAACTGTCTTCGTCCAAGTTTCCATTACTGATTTTCATGGTATTCCGCATTCGCGCATTCCGGGTTTTGATGAGACTTTGCATTGAACCTTATCCTCCACTAAAACCAACCAAGGTCGGTTTTATTTTCTTTGGGCCTAACTCCTTAAGTCGAGCCGAAGATCTTGCAGCAGTCAATCACATGACACAAGCTGTCGTCAGAATTGGGTCGAAGATCGGGTCCTAAAGTTGGGTGTAAGGAATCATGGCTTGAGTCAAAGTTTTTGAATCGCCAACTCTGGTTCCCTGTATTCATGATTCCTAAACATTTAAAACTTATTTTTCTTTGCTATGTCATGTAAAAGGCTGTTAAAAGACTATATTCAAGGCAGAAGGCACAATGCCTGAATGACTACTTTTTTCTGTCACAAACTAAATCTTTGTTTTGACCACTTTCAGTTGTCAGATTTTCATAATTTTGGAAAGCCTATGCCATTAGGAAACAGAATGCGCAAGTTTTGCATAGAAATTTTTGCAAATTATTTGCATATGTTACGCGATCATGTCTGATCATGATTTAGGCTATACAACCCCTGTAAATTCCCTGCCTGGATCTGTTCAACCCCTGGAGGAAGCAATGACTTCAGTGGTCTATACTCAGTAAACTCAGACAGAGAACCGGTTTTATAAACTTACAGGGTGAGATCCTTGGTTCAGCGTACAGTTTTGCCTCTGTTTAAAGTTAGCTACGATTTGAGGCACATGCAAGTAAAATCTACTAGGGTTGGAAACCGTAATCATATCTCTGATGCAGATGATGAGACTATACAGACGAGTTTGATTGCACTGAATCCGAATCTGATGACATAGATGTCTATTTGGTTATAATTGGGATATAATTTGGTTATAATTTGATCTCAATTAGTCTAAATTTGTCTCAGTCTGGGGCTTTGAGGGTATTTAAGATTAAACAACATACCATTAATCTTTAGATCTGTAGATTTAGTTACAAAAAAGTTAAGGGCTATTTTAATTTTTTTTTTACACAGACCAAACTTTTTACCAACTTTACAGGGATAGTGTCAAAAATGAGAGTGCTAGGACAAAAAAAAACTTCAGGGGGGGGGACTTCAAACGCTGGGTGGGGGGGAGGCCCCACCCAGCCTGCTTAGGTTTAAAATGTCTTTAATATTTGCAAAAAAAAATTTCATATCATAATCTGAGTTCGATGTCTTTTGTCCATTTGACGACCCAATTTTTTAAAAAATAATCTTATTTATTATTGATTTTGATGGTTATTATATTGTTAAAAGTGACAAGGGTCAATCAAGACAAAAATATATTTTTTCAATCAAATGTGAAACTGACATCTTCTGTTTAACTCTACTCTTGAAACCAGTGGAGCTATTATTTTCCTGTTTTGTTTCAAGTAAATTGAGATTGCAGAGATGAAATATCAAGTAAATTGAGATTACAGAGATGAAATATCAACTAAATTGAAATTACAGAGATGAAATATCACGTAAATTGAGATTACAGTGATGAAATATCAAGTAAATTGAGATTACAGAGATGAAATATCAAGTAAATTGAGATTACAGAGATGAAATATCACGTAAATTGAGATTACAGTGATGAAATATCAGCATCCATTTTACAAACATTGGCCAAGGATCCATCTCCACCAATTGAATATCTAGCAGACACTTCCTGGAAAATATTAAATTTTTTATTTGTATATTTTAGTACAGGTCAGCGTTAATAAATGAAGACGACATTTATTAAATGATGTGTTGTCCCTGAGTGAAAAGCGTTTTTTAAATTATAAATAAATAGAAGCCATTTATTGACAACTACTCTTTGTTAAACATGTTTATTTTTTTCTGGTGTTTAATAGCTTGAAATGAACAAAAATTCTAATACAAATTTGCCTGCATGTATTGAAACAGACGATAACGACTGTGCCTGAGAGCCTCAGCAGATATTTGGTTGACCAAAAAATGCAAAAATACAAATTTTAAAGATAATAAAAAATTGACTTTTAATAAAAATCTATAAATTGATTTGAGTTTAAATACTATAATTTTGGTCATTTTAATTTAATGCAAGGTTTGTATACTTGATGCATAGCTAGGTTATTTAATTCTAGATATAATAGTTAAGCTTTGAACAGAGCAGAAATATATAGTAAAAGCTTTTTTTGTGGAAGACGACTATTGGCCTCCTTAGAGTATCTCCACATCCAGACTTGGGAACAAGACGGGGCTTGGAGCATTTTAGAAGCTCGTGGAATCATATAAAACATTCAATGTAATATTCTCGATAGTGATAGTGAACACGAACCCTTGTTCTATTTAGACTTAAATATATACTGGATTAGTTCACCGTGTTTTAATAGAGTCCGTCCTCTCGACCTCTATAATTTAAATTTTACTTTCATTTCAATGGAAAAAATGAAAGAAAAACTTTATTTGAAAAAATTCGAGCAACATTAAATCTTGAAAAACAGCTGATTTATATAATATCACGATGATAACTTAACAGCAAGTCTATAATGAATTATACTAAGAAGTGACAAGAAATAATCCTAGACTTTTTTACCTGTTCGCCTATTCCCTGTCCGGATGATTTGAGAGCAAGAAAAATAGCAAAATCTCGTGCTTTAGATAGCTTGAGACCAGTCATATTAAACTCTTTGTATCTTCCATCCACAAATCTAAGCACAGATATATCCAAAATAGAAGGTTTCCTGATTGGTGACAATAATTTAAGTTGATTCTTAACAACAGTCTATTGTTATTTCTAATTTAAAAATTGTTATAAATTATTCAGCCCATTCGGTCAAGCCGTTTTTCCAGCTATTACTGACATATAAATATATCTACATACATCCTAATATAAATATATTTACATACATCCTAATATAAACATATTTACATACATCTTGATATATATATGTATAGATGAGCAAAGAGCTTCATTATGTTGATCAGAACTTCTGTGTTATTGATAATCTTAAAGGCTTGAGCTCGATATCCAATGTGGGAACTTTTAGATTTGAGAACCAATGGTTGATCCCTCAATTAAAGTTGTCCCTGCAGGGTATAACCATTACAGGATCGAAATCGAATATTAAAATAATCTCTAGATGGATTTTAATGCTTCATACGATCACAACCCATAATTGCTGCGCTAAAGGAATTGAGTCTTTGCCACAAACTCTGATTTTCCAATCCCTATATCTTTGGAACCCAATGTCTTAGACCTTATTTATTTCAAACTAAGTATAGTGTTAGATCAAATAATCTAAGTTTGAAATATCAAAGGTTTACTCCATCAAGTTTCAAAGATATAGGGTTTTAAGAATTAAAGTTTGTGACAAAAACTCAACTCTTTTTTTGAAAAGCTTCTAATTTTTTTAATTTGAGGCCCAAATTTCAAAGGTGAAAAATTTATCAAACTTCATACTTGCCTTGTGTGCATGTTTCTCTGAACTAAAGGATTAGTTTAGGAATATACAGCAACCATGATTTTTGAATGAGAAAAAAAGAAAACATGATTACTTACTCAAATTTGCTGAATCTGTCTGAACCATGAAAAACATGAAGATGCAAATTCTAAAAAAGAATATTTGATTAAATGGTTCAGTAATCTTTTAAATGTAAAATCCAGCTTTCAAAGTATAAATTAAAAATTAACATTAATGTCGAAAACAATCATAAAGATAAATTGGAAAATATAAAAAAATAAGTTTAAAACATGTTTACCGCACACACAGATTCATCAGTTGTGGTTGAAGCATCAACATTTACTTTTAAAATATCTTCTTTATCATTGATTTTACGTGACAAGGAAAACGTTAATTCCATTAATACTTGTTATAAATTCTTGGTTTTGATTAAAATTTTAGTAATTTACTTGATAATTGAATAATTTTATTTATGAAAGAGCGTTTTCGTAAAGAATGTTTTCATACATGAGGACAGTCAGACCTTTTTAGTCGTTGTTCTTGAACGTTCCGTTTGTTACCAAATTTTTTCGTTCTTTCTTAAGGTTACTGTTCTTTAACCATCTCCATATTTTAAACAATGTTGACGCAATATATATTTTTGAATTCATTATCGGCCCTGGCTGCAGTAAATAGCCGTTTAGAATAATTTCATGTCAAACAGGAAAAATAAGAAGACTCAAAAACATCAAAACAGATACATATGTTTGTTTCATGCAATTAAGAGCAGAAAAATATCAAGAGTTGCCGATAGTTAGTTTTTAACACATTTTCAACATATTTATTCGTTTGTTTTTATTTCTTCCTTTTTTTCATGAGCAGTTATTTTCATTCACAATATCATAAATAACTAATATCATTATTATCATAAATAATTGTCATATATTAACAAATCCATTCATTATCAAAAACTTGTTTGTTGGCGAAATGTTGTCCAGTCTAAACTTTCAAAATTGTTCAAAAGCGTGTAATGTAAATTATAATTATAAATAAGTAAAATATATATGAGAAAAGAAGAAATTCCTTTATTTAGGGAATCATATTGATTTTTGTCCCAGATCTGGTTAATTGCTAATTCCTGAAAACAAGAATAATTTTATTTTTAACTTTATCAAAAAATTCACTCCAAAAGTTTTAAAAGATGAATTTTTTTTTTGGGGGGGGGGAAGAAAACATAGTTTATGGGCAAAAATCCAAATATTTATCGTAAATCTACTTATTGAGCCAAACATGTGCAAAAATAAAAAGTGTTACATTTTTGCAAAGCCGAGCTAATATAGTTTTAGAAAATTTAAATGTTTTCAAAATGTTCAATGCCGTAAAGAAAAACTGGAAATTTCAATTTTAATTTAAAAAATTGTAAAAATTTGTTTACGAAAATTTTAGAGTGAAGGAAGCATGTTTATATCAGCATATGGTCAGTTGAGCCCCATGTATACTCTAGAGGTAGTTCTGTACATGTGTTTACCCGTGCATAGAGAAGTATTGTACCAGCATATGGTCCTGAGCCCCATGTACACTCTAGAGGTAGTTCTGTACATGCGTTTACCTTTGCATAGAGAAGTATTGTACCGTTATATGGTCCTGAGCCCTATGTACACTCTAGAAGTAGTTCTGTACATATGTTTACCTGTGCATAAAGAAGTATTGTACCGGCATATGGTCCTGAACCCCATGTACACTCTAGAGGTAGTTCTGTACATGTTGCACACCTGCAGAAACTACCAGGACCAAACATGTACACTCTGAAGAATTAAATATTTTTATAATTGATGTAAAGTGAAAACCTGTTTATTAAAACTTGTTTAGCTCAATTTTGAACCAGTTCTATAGTTTTATGAAATGCAACTTAGTTTCTAATTTTGAACAATTTCATATATTTCCATATTTTGTTGATTTTTTCACTAATACAAATTTTGTTCTAATATATCATTAAAGGATATATTTTCTGAAAAACTGATTTCATAAACGTTGAAATCATCAGAATCAATTCAAAATTAAACAAGATATAAACAAATTTGCAAGAGTCACTAACTGGAAATACGAAAAAGTAAGACGACTTTTAAATTATTTTTAATAAGATTATCTTTAAAAACATATCTATAACAACGTCACCTTTAAAAAATAATACTCAAATATGATGTACAAGTAAAACATGTTTAAAAATGTTTTTTGTTTTTATTTTTATGTTTTTAAATTATAAATATAAATACCTCAAATATTTTGATAATACAACTGCCATGGATGAAAGTTTAATGATTAAATGAGCAGGTCCAAACCAGGAGGAACCAATATCATGAATACCCTGAATAATAAAGATATTAAATAAATGAGAGTTTAATGATTAAATAAGCAGGACCAAACCAGGAGGAACCTATATCATAAATACCCAGAATAGTAAAGTCATTGAATAAATGAGAGTTTAATGACTAAATAAGCAGGTCCAAACCAGGAGGAACCTATATAATGAATACCCAGAATAGTAAAGTCATTGAATAAATGAGAGTTTAATGACTAAATAAGCAGGTCCAAACCATGGAGGAACCTATATAATGAATACCCTGAATAATAAAGATATTAAATAAATGAGAGTTTAATGATTAAATGAGCAGGACCAAACCTGGAGGATCCAATATCATGAATACCACATGAAAAATATATTTCCTTAATAAATGAGAGTTTAATGATTAAATGAGCAGGTCCAAACCAGGAGGATCCAATATCATGAATACCCTGAACAAATACAAATATTAAATTAATGAGAGTTTAGACACTTTTTTAAATTTAAAGAGTTTTTAGAGTTTTTAGATTTTTGGGTGGTCTTTACAGTCACATCTTTTTTGGGTAACCCTGTATCTCATACAACAAAAATTCTTGAATGCACTATTGTCGTTCCGCCCTTTAAAAAGGTTCTTAAGTCTGATTCACAAAATTTGCCATTTCAATTTTGATTTGATCAAAAAAGTGGAAGAAGACGTCGTTTTTATATCTTGAAAAGTGTTAGATTCTATCTTTGGAGGGTCAATTAAAATTAAAGGGAGAGTTCGCGAAAAAATTAAAAGGGGTAAAGGCTTACTTCGAAAAATTATGGATAGTGATCGCTAATAATCTTACATCTATAAGGAGAAATTACAACCTATAATCATCGATAATGTTTTGACACATTTTTATAAAGTTGATATTTCAAAATATTTTTTTACTCGTTTTATATGCAATATACTTTAAATAACATTTATTTAGCCACTAGGTGTCTCTGCCTACGATGCTTCTGGAGTTCCACATGGAATAGACTTCAACGACACCTAGCGACAAAAAAATCGTTGTTTAAAGTATATTTTATATGAAGCACATAAAAATATTATGAAATATCAACTAAATACGAATGCGTCGAAAAATGATCGATGATTATAGGTTGTAATATCTAAATGATTTGTTTGGAATTAAATTGATTTTTTTTACAATCCAAGTCGAATGTTTCAACTTTCTGTACGGACTCTATGTTAGGCTGATTAAGTCGTTTTTAACAATTTTCTCCAATTATAGACGTAACAGATAGAAGTAAAATTAGTAGCGATCACCATCAATACTTTTTCCATGTACGCCTATTCTCCTTTTCATTTTTCGCAAACACTCCAGTAAAGTTAGCGGGATCAAAGTATTGAAAATATAGTTGTTAAGTTTAATAAGCATAATAACTTAATAATTAAGTATATTTTTACAACTGAACAATACTTTTTGAATGTAACAGATTGGTAAAACTTTATCTGTTAATTGAGTTTAATGGAAGTTTTTTGGTTTGAAAAAAAAACATATTTTGCTTATTCCTGCAATATATTTCGAGCATAAAACTTTTCTTAATTGCTTAAAGGTAATTTAAAATACATTAATCACCTTATGGGATAGCCCGACATATTCTGCAGCCTTCTTTAATTTCTCAGTAATCAATGATGTTCCACCTAACATATAAAAGTTATTTATTACTAAAACTACAGAATGCACAAGTTCTAATTTAATCCTATCCAGATTCGGCTATTTGTGTCTTATATAGATGGTGGGGAGGAGGGTGTTCCTCCAGTGGAATTATAAACCCCTTGGAAGGATAACTGAATCTCTCCAGTGGAATTATAAACCCCTTGGAAGGATAACTGAATCCCTCCAGTGGAATTATAACCCCCAGAAAGGATAGCTGAATCCCACCAGTGGAATTTTAACCCCCAGAAAGGATATCTGAATCCATCCAGTGGAATTATAAACCCCTAGGAAAAATATCTGAATCCCTTCAGTGGAATTATAACCCCACAGGATGGATATGTGAATCCCTCCAGTGGAATTATAATCCCCCTTGAAAGATATCTGAATCCCTCCAGTGGAATTATAAACCCATAGGAAGGATATCTGAATCTCTCCAGTGGAATATAAACCCCTAGGAAAGATATCTGAATCCCTCCAGTGGAATTATAGCCCCCAGGAAGGAGCTCTGAATCCCTCCAGTGGAATTATTAATCCCTTGGAAGGATATCTGAATCCCTCCAGTGGAATTATAAACCCCTAGGAAAGATATCTGAATCCCTCCAGTGGAATTATAAACCCCCTAGAAAGATATCTGAATCCCTCCAGTGGAATTATAAACTCATAGGAAGGATATCTGAATCCCTCCAATGAAATTATAACCACCAGAAAGGATAACTGAATCCCACCAGTGCAATTATAAACCCATAGGAAGGATATCTGAATCCCTCCAGTGGAATTATAATCCCCCTGGAAAGATATCAGAATCCCTCCAGTGGAATGTAAATCACCATGCGTAAAGTTTTAAATTGTAAAAAGCATTTTTCAAACCCCTCCAGTGAAAATAAAATCCCTCCGGTGGTCTCCAGTAGAATCGAAATCTTACTACGAAATTCTTTGAGTCCTTAAAATCTCAAACCAAACTAAAAACATTCCCGTGGCCCTCACGAGTTCCCCCATCATAATTCAAGGCAAATCGGTCCAGGGGTCCTGAGTTATGATCGGACATACACACAGAGATACAGAGATTATAACTTTATATAAATAGATACTTGAATATATATACTTGTAATACTAACTTGAATTTCTGAATGTATATACTTGTAAAACTAACTTGAATTTCTGAAAGTATATACTTGTAATACTAACTTGAATTTCTAAAAGTATATACTTGTAATACTAACTTGAATTTCTGAAAGTATATACTTGTAATACTAACTTGAATTTCTGAAAGTATATGCTGAATTCTTGTTGGCAAGAACAGTGTCAGGCCAGTATCCAAGAAGACCAGGAGTAGGAAAAGTATCCAAATCACTTCTGTCAACAAAATACAATATTAAGATGAAAATGAAAAACATGTAGTTGCACGGGCAGCCGTAGTACATTTGAATTTCCGAGCCAGGTTAAACTTTCCGGTCCCAGTTTGTACTGTACCTAGCTCTATGGATAGGACTAGCCGGAGCAACAAGGTTGACGCATTCAGATATTATGCTTCTTATAGGTTGAATTCATTTTACTAATCGGGCAGATTTGCGTGACTGGGCAGACAGAAAAAAAATTTATTAGGAAAGAATATCTTCAAAAAGCTGATAGAATACAAAGCTAAAGCCAAAAAAAGATTATAGAAAGGCACATTTCTGAGCTTTATCTGATTGGAAAACTTATTATTTATAATTATGTTTTATTGAAAGACATGTTGGAATTATCACAATTGAATGTTAAAGCTAGGAAAACGACTATATCGTACACATCATTGATCAGATAAAGGCTTCAACGTTATTATTGAAAATTATTCATTGCAATCTTTGCATGTAGGGTCACTTGAAAAACGCTTACAGTACAAGTGAAGTATATATCTATATAGTAAAACAAGACATTCATTTATATATATGTTGCGTATAGACGGCCAAACGGATGGATATAATGGGCTGAAATTTGTTGTAGACACTCATGGGTTGCCGGGGTGTGTTAAAGGCGGCTAAAAAACTTCGCCGGGCCCTTCAGCTATTGTTGAATAAAATTATAAAAAATATAAACAAAAAAAATGCAATTCAGTTATAATAATGCGAAACAACTAGCTGTATATATCATTTGAGTAGATTTTACATATAAAACAAAACTAAAAGTGTATTAACTCTCCCAAAACATAATTTTATGTACGTATCCAATCATATTCATCACAATCACTCTAAACAACCTACCCTGATTAGGCGGGTCCAAACTACATAGTAAATTGTGATTACTATTATTATTTGTAACTAGCTTGGGAAACCACGGCTGCCAAGGTTACTAAAAGTTACTCCCGCCGTTTTGCACTTGAACGATTTTACCGGGAAACTAAATTTTCGTTATTAAAGTTGTCATGTACTCAACTAATAATCTCGAAACCAAGCTAAAATAATGTCTTTTGAGTTCCCCAATAAAAATGTGAGGCCAATCCGTTCAGGGGTTTCTGAGTTATGATCGGTCAAACGAACAGACTGACAAGCTGAGATTACAACTTTATATACACAAATATTTCATAATTTATAGATAAATAAAAATATGAAAAAATATGAATATGAAATAATATAAACAAAAAACATACTAAAATGAATTAATGAAAAGATGTAATAATAAAAATACCTCAGAATATGTGAATACTGAGTGAGAAAAGCTGCCGAGGGATTTATCAAACATTCATGACTATTGATATAGTTATCATACCTCGGATCCCTTCATTCATTATTATGCATTCATTGGTTTTTATATTCATTATCATGCATTCATTGGTTTATATATTTATCCTCATGCATTCATTGCCATACTTTCATTATTATGTATTCATTGGTTTATATATTCATCCTCATGTATTCATTGGTTTATATATTCATTATCATGCATTCATTGGTTTATTTATTCATCCTCATGTATTCATTGACATATATTTATCCTCATGTATTCATTGGTTTATATATTCATCCTCATGTATTCATTGACATATATTCATCCTCATGTATTCATTTCCATATATTCATTATTATGCATTTATACCATGTCTATATTTTAATCCTCATGTATTCATTGCCATATATTCATTATTATGCATTCATACCATGTCTATATTTAAATCCTCATGCATTCATTGCCATATACTCATTATCATGCATTCGTACCATGACTTTATTTTAATCCTCTAGCATTCATTGCCATATATTCATTATAATGCATTCATTCCCATATATTCATTATCATGCATTCATTGGTTTATATATTCATCCTTATGCATTCATTGACATAATTCATTATCATGCATTCATTGCAATATACTCATCATTATATATTGCCATTTAATCGCTGTTGTGCATTCATTACCATATATTCATTATCATGCAGTCACTGACATATATTCATTGTCACGTATTCATATATTCATATACATTATCTCGCATTTAATGCCATTTCTTCATTGTCATGCATTAATTGTTATGCAGTCATGTATTGTCATGTCATGCATTTATTGGTATGTAATCATTGCTATGTATTCATGTACTGTCATGTCATGCATTAATTGGTATGCACTCATTGTTATGCATTTATGTACTTTCATGTCATGCATTAATTGGTATGTAATCATTGTTATGTATTCATGTACTGTCATGTCATGAATTAATTGGTATGTACTCATTGTTATGCATTTATGTACTGTCCTGTCATGCATTAATTGGTATGTTATTATTGTTGTTATGCATTAATGTACTGTTATGTCATGCATTAATTGGTATGTAATTATTGCTATGTATTCATGTACTGTCATGTCATGCATTAATTGGTATGCACTCATTGTTTTGCATTTATGTACTGTCATGTCATGCATTAATTGGTATGTTATTATTGTTTTTATGCATTAATGTACTGTTATGTCATGCATTAATTGGTATGTTATCATTGTTATGCATTCATGTACTGTCATGTCATGCATTAATTGGTATGCAATTATTGTTATACATTTATGTACTGTCATGTCATGCATTAATTGGTATGTTATTATCGTTGTTATGCATTAATGTACTGTTATGTCATGCATTAATTGGTATGTTATCATTGTTATGCATTCATGTACTGTCATGTCATGCATTAATTGGTATGTACTCATTGTTATGCATTTATGTACTGTCATGTCATGCATTAATTGGTATGCAATTATTGTTATACATTCATGTACTGTCATGTTATGCATTAATTGGTATGTACTCATTGTAATGAATTCATGTACTGTCATGTAATGCATTAATTGGTATCTAATCATTATGTATTCATGTACTGTCATGTCATGCATTTATTGGTATGTAATCATTGTAATGAATTCATGTACTGTCATGTCATGAATTAATTGGTATGTATTATGTAATCATTGTTATGCATTTTTTTTAAAAAATGGAATATAAGCCTTGCATTTGCCTTTTGATGTGTTGAAGAATGATTTCAATGGTTTGAAAATCTATAGTGATTAGAAAATTTGAGTTTGTAGCAAATACTCAATTCTATTTTAAAATGATGCATCCATGATGTGATGCTTTACTATAATTGCATGATGTTCCTGTAAGCTATTCCATACATAGATGCATACAAACATTTACCATGGCCCATTAACAAGTTCACATTGTCCCTAGAAAATATTAAATAAAACAACTTAAATGTCAAGCTACTAAACATGCAAAGATAGCCATGCCTGGTTCCGACAAGCTTTGCCTGATCAAGAAGTATTTATATATTAATGTTCATAATTTTTAGAACTGATTATTTTTAAGTTGTGGGTTCTCATTAGTGATTTGTGCATTTCTACATGGATGGATATTTGGATGGCTTTGAGTTTAGTAATAACCAACCATTTAGGGTTTTCTCTCTTTAAGGCTCGAGTCTTCAGCTGTTATATTTGTACATTTAAAATTATTTGTGGTGTCAAATTTTATTAATTTGATAAATATCTAAAATAAACATACTAAGAAAATAATATATCTACAAAAAGTTTGAAATTTCGAAATTTACATCTCCTTGTCAAAGCTGATATGACGGCATTCTGTCTGCTACAGAGAGAAAGCTTGCTAAACAGTCTCTCATTGGTCGAATAAGAACCAATCCTGACTTGGGTTCTATCTAAGCCTGAGTTTGGGTTTTATTTGGTTAAAGCTTTTAAAATCTCATCTCAGGAAAAAGCCTAGATAAACAAAAATATCTTCCACGCACATTATTGTTTAGAAAAGTACTCAAGGGTACCATTGTAAATGAACATTGCCATCTTTGCATTGAGGGAAACTTGAAATTAGGCTTACAGTCCCTTTAAATGAATTTTAATTTCAAAATAAAAGCCGACCTGTATTCAACACATTCAGTTGGTAGATGTTGGATAGAGTCAGGGTGTGTAAACAGGACAATGTCAAACCTTTCAGTTTCAGAGTTTAAACCTAGACAATATTAAACCTAGAAAATATTAAACTTATACAATATTAAAACTAGAAAATATTAAACCTAGACAATATTAAACCTAGACAATATTAAACCTAGACAATATTTAACCTAGACAATAATAAACCTAGACAATAATAAACCTAGACAATATTCAACCTAGACAATATTAAACCTAGACAACATTAAACCTAGACAATATTAAACCTAGATAATATTAAACCTAGACAATATTGAACCTCGACAATATTAAACCTAGACAATATTAAACTTCGACAATATTAAACCTAGACAATATTAAACATAGACAATATTAAACCTAGACAATATCAAACCTAAACATTATTAAACCTAGACAATATTAAACCTAGACAATATTAACCTTAGACAATATGAAACCTAGACAATATGAAACCTAGACAATATTAAACCTAGACATTATTAAACCACGATAATATTAAACCTGGACAATATTAAACCTAGATAATATTAAACCATGATAATATTAAACCTAGACAATATTAAACCTATATAATATTAAGCTAGGACAATATTAAACCTAGACAATATGAAACCTAGACAATATTAGACCTAGATAACATTAAACCTAGACAATATTAAAATAGACGATATGAAACCTAAATAATATTAAAACTAGATAATATTAAACCTAGACAATAATAAACCTAAACAATATTAAACCTAGACAATATTAAACATAGACAATATTAAACCTAGACAATATTAAACTTAGACAATATTAAACCTAGACAATATTAAACCTAGATAATATTAAACCTAGACAATATTAAAATAGACGAAATTAAACCTGAAAAATATTAAACCTAGATAAAATTAAACCTAGACAATAAAAAACCTAAGCAATATTAAAACTAGACAATATTAAACCTAAACAATATTAAACCTAGACAATATTAAACCTAGATAATATTAAACCTAGACAATATTAAACCTAAACAATATTAAACCTAGACAATATTAAACATAGACAATATTAAATCTAGACAATATTAAACCTAGACAATATTAAACCTAGACAATTTTAAACCTAGATAATATTAAACCTAGACAATATTAAAATAGACGATATTAAACCTATATAATATTAAACCAAGATAATATTAAACCTAGACAATATTAAACCTAGACAATATTAAACCTAGAAAATAATTAACCTAGACAATATTAAACCTGGATAATATTAAACCTAGACAATATTAAACCTAGACAATGTTAGACCTAGATAATATTAAACCTCGACAATATTAAAATAAACGATATTAAACCTAGATAATATTAAACCTAAAAAATAATAAACCTAGACAATAATAAACCTAGACAATATTAAACCTAGATAATATTAAACCTATACAATAATAAACCTAGATAATATTAAACCTAGACAATATTAAACCTTGACAATATTGAACCTAGATAATATTAAACCTAGACAATATTAAACCAAGACAATATTAAACCTAGATAATATTAAACCTAGACAATATTAAACCTAAACATTATTAAACCTAGACAGTATGAAACCTAGATAATATTAAACGTAGACAATATTAAACCTAGACAATATTAAACCTAGAAAGTATTGAACCTAAACAATATTAAACCTGGACA